TCTCAAAATTAATCACATTTTTCCTTAAGTTTTAGTAGGAAATATCTATTACTGAGAACTTGAGGGTGTGATTTTTTTTTAAATTTAATTTTGCTCATTATACAGATTTCACAAAGATTCCAAGATCAGGAGTCTGATTTTCCTGTTGTGGTATTTTGTTTTTTCCTTTTTTTTGCATTTAGTATAATTCTGCTGATTATTTATTTGAAGGTGGTCAAAAGAACTTCAAGATTATGCAAATTCGATAATACAGTCTAATAGCTCTCTCTACCTGCTTATCTGTCTATATGCTAGAGTCCCACTAATGTGCTTAAAGCATTGGATTAAAGGCCACGGGTTTTCTAGAAGATTATGTCCTAGATAAATACTGTCAATTTGATTTAGTGACATTAAAATAAGCCACTGACCTATAAGAATGCTATTCTTTTAATATTTGCAAAAACTGCAGTCTTTGTTAAGCAAAGGTTTCCTCTTAGGAATAGGTTAACATAGATTGTGATTTTTAGTTCATGCTGGGTTAGAGAGAAAAACAACTAACTATATTTTTAATGTTTGCTTATTGAATCTTATTTATTACTGAGTGATAACAAACAACATTGCTTGCTATTTTTATGCCACTGTGCCTTTGCCCATGCTACTTCTTCTGCCTGGTGTGCCTTTTCCGCATCATTTGTAATATTTTATCATCCTTATCAATTTTCTATTTGTAATCCCCTAAAGCAGGGATGTTCAACCCATGTTCTGTGGTTCAACAGCGTGTCACAAGAATTTTTTAAACATGCAATACTTACTTAGGGGCACTGACCCCTTCCCCCTTTGATTGTCAAATGAAAAAATGACAACAGCCAATACAATAATAGCCATTCAGTGTGAATGAATCAAAATTATATCCATTTTTTGTCAGAGCAGCAAAAAAATATAATTTTGGGTGTGCTACAGAATTTTAGTAATTAGTTTGTGTGTGCCATCAGATGAAAAAGGTTGAAAATCGCTGCCTTAAAGAACTATGATTGTGTCTTTTATACATTCATCCATTTATTGATTCAATAAAGATTTAGCTGTGTTCCAGGTCTGGGGAATACAGCAATGATGAACACAGATAAAAATCCTGCCTTCTTAAAACTTATATAAAAATGATGTGATAAATGAATAAAATACATCGTAAGTTAGGTGGCGACTCGTCTAAAGAAAAGGGGTTGCAGTTTTTAATAGGGCGGTCAACCAAGATTTGACTAGAGTGACATTTGAGCAAAGACCTGGAGGAGTTGAGGACAAACCAAGTAGGTATCTGGGGATAGAGTGTTCCAGAAAGAGGACTAGCAACTGAAAAGGCACTAAAATGGGAGTGTGCTGGATTATGCATGGTTTGTAGAACCATAAGGAGGCCCAAATGGTTGCATAGAAGGAGAGGAAGGAAGACTAATCTTGTTCATCCTGTTATCCTTTGGGCTTAGCACTGTGCCTGAAACATCAGGAATTAACATAGTTTTGATAAATTAATGCATATTTTTATCATAATGTAAAAAATGTCAATAATTCACAGAACTCAATCCAGGGCAGTTACTTTGGAGTGAAAATATTTTGTCTGCTTGCCCAAACTTTGATTTTGCCAATGAAACAGATATGACTTTTGTTCATCCAGATTTCAGATTAGTAGTTCAGGATGTTGTGTTGGAGTTTTCACAAAGCCATTCACAAAGCCGAGTATTGAAAACCGCTGGCAAACATTGTCAGGCAGTAAGTAGTTTAATAACCTAACATTCAGATCTCTCAGCAAAGTTTAACAGCACTACTTAGAATCATTTAAAGAAAATGCCAGTTTAAGGGCTTATTTTGCTTCCAAAACTTATTACTCAGAACATCACTCATAGAATTTTTATAAAGTATACTATACATATAATATTTATTTTATTTGCAGGAATGACTCACTGTTAGCAGCAGATGGAGCCATAAACATATGTACAACCTGGCAACCACTACAAGCGAGACTGATGAGAACTTGACAACTTTTCTCCTGCCTACTCGTCCGTCTTTGGCTCACGTTGGACTCCAGGTGTGAGCATTTCCTGCTATTGCTTTCAATTTGTTAGTGGATCCCTTTGAATTGTAACCCCTCTGTCTTGGTCGTTGAACTTTAATTCTAGCAGAAGGTAATACTTTCTCCTGTCTTCCTGATTTGTCGGGTGATTTTTCTTGAGATTTAGAAAAACATATACAGTTCCCAAGAAATACTTGAATGGGAACACTAATTATAAAAGATCTATTCCTTCAAAATCACTAGATCCTGATAGTTGGGGAGTTTTAATTGAATCTTCAAGAAATCAAGTGTTCTCAAGTGTCAAAACCCTCCAGCTCCTGGAGACCTACAGGAAGGCACCTGTAGTAAACCTAGGTGTACTTGTTGCAGCGAAGAACACACAACGTGGGGAACCATGGGCTGTTTCAAGAAGAAGGGGTTCAGAAGGAAGCTATTATAGGATTTGGGTTTTGGTTGGTGACTTGAAAGAGAGGCCAAAGAGGGATTTGCTCTTGACTGGATGCTGTCAGAAGTTGGGGCAAACCTACGACTGGGCAATTTAATCAATCTTACCTGTAGGGAGAGAAGACTAGGAGGAGAATAAAGCTGTAATCGTGAAGAGGTAGTATTCACCCATTTTGGCCAAGAAAAGGGTTCCTTGGCATTTTATGGTTGGCAGAATGATTTTGTGTTTGTCTGTGCTTAGGCAAACTTACAGAGTGCTTTGCTTTGTCTTATTTTATCATGTTTTCAGAATGGCCTTGTTTGAACTTGGTATTTTATGAGATTATTTCTAGCTAATAGGAGAATAACATGGCTTAGCTGTGAGCACCAGGGCAGCTTCTGAATATCAGAAGCTTCTCTTATTAGCTTTTCTACTTACTAGCCTCTCTACCTGTTTCTCTACTCATTAGTTGTGCAGCCTTGCGCCAGTTACTGAACCATTCTGTGCTGATTTCCTATGTCTAAATGGAAACGCCTCTACCTACCTAAAGTAGTAAGAATTAACAATAGGGGATTCAATAAGTTATCACATTTTAACTGCAAGAATTTGTTCGTCAGTCATCCCTAGACTGGATTGTGAGTGCCTTGAGGGCAGGGACTGAATGGCACATCTGGATACTGTTAAAATCAACCTCAAGCGGAGACCAGACTTGAAAATTCCCTAGCAGACAAAACCAGGTTAGTCATACAAGAAAAATAAATTTAGCTTATTTTGCAAGGCAAATGAGGCCAACTTGACCTAGGTCACTTTTTGCTTATGCTTCTGAAAATCATAAGCAAAACTTAAATTGTTCCCCAAAATTGATATGAGGTAGTCACTAACCAATTCTCTTTCACTTAAGAAAATTCTAATATAATGACCAATTACTGTGATGAGTAAACAGCCAATGCCTCCACAGTATGTAAGCTGCTTTATAACAATATTCCTCTGAGTCTCATTCCGTGTTTGAAAGCTAGCTCCAGGTTCTCAAACTGTCTTTTTGGTGTGTGCATAATAAACTTTTACTAATTATTGCAATAAGTCATTTGTTGGTTTTACTTTTTTTAAAATGAACTTTGACAATACTCAAGCAATGTTTGAATCCTGATCCAAACTTTCTCATCTTTCTGCTTTTTTCTAATTATTCTCTCATCCTGTCTATCCTTCTCCCCTTCCCATCTGTCTAAAGCCTAACCCCAAAGGGCCAATAACTATCCTTTAGAACACTCTCCGTGTATTATTATGACGAACTTATTACAGTGTTTTGAGTACTAAAGGAATATAGTGTTTGTATTTTTTTTTTAAAACCACTTAGGACATAATAACTACTCAGTAATGTTAACTATTATAATCATTTATAGCTTTTGTATTTTTGCAAGTTTCTTTAGGACGTAACTCTATCTTACTTTTTGGTTTCACTTTACAGTGTCTGCAAAGTGCAGTGGCAAAGCGCTGAAGGCCAGGGACTGGGGTCCCCATAATCCTGTGAGTTGGGGATCCCTCTTCTTCCCCCGAAAGCATGTAAAACAAGACACAGAGAGGAGCTGACTCAACCAATCACACAGTTGGGGCTGTAAAGGCCCCATCTCCCAATTTTTCATTCATTATTCAAATTAGAGCCTGTCAGCTGAGTGTAAATGAAACCAGGAGGCTTTGGCTAGAAATAAAACATAAAGATTTATTCATGGGTCTTAAGGTTTCAACCAGAAATACAACTGGGCAGAAGAAAAGCTGAGAGTTCTTGTAATAAAAAGTACATTTTTGAGAGGAACCAGTCCTGCATTCTTAGCCTAGGGATTGGTTCTAGACCGTGATCCTCTAGATGACTGGTGGTCTAGGTAAATGAACATTCTTTCTTTTGCTCTTCAGGGGGTTACCAAGGTTTATCTGAACGTTTGATGTATATCCAGGCATTTTCATGGGTCTGGAAAGTCCAAAAGTTTCAGTTTGCAGGCTAGTTAAAAACAAGAACAGAAATCATTTCCTCCTAACTCAACTACTTGATTTTCGTAATTTAGCAGCTTGACTATAGCGACTCCATTTTATTTCTTCAAGTCAAACTCGCCAACAACAGATGCACCTCTTTCGGGATGCCGGGGCACAAAACCCGGGAGGCGGGCGCGCAGGCGGAACCTTAGTCCTCGCCTCTGTTTCCCGAGACGCCACTCCTCCGGCTACACTACCAAAGTCGCAGGCCTCGCCCACTCCCGGCGGCCCATTCTGAGACGGGTTCCGGAGTCTCTGGGTACTCATTTCAGCTAACCGATGAAGGGACACCCCAACGACGGGGAACAACTTCCCTAAGCGCTGTCACCCCAGCAGGGTCCCAGAGTGCCCCTTAGAGGACGGCGCATAACGTGGGACCACGCACGTTATCTCCTGTGGTGCGGAGCGTAGCCGTGCGCGTGCTCGTGCGCGTGCCCAGGCGCGCACGCCGCCCGCGCCCACGTCGCCCCGCCCCCGCCGCTCACTGCCGCCTCTTCTCCAGGAGAGCTGGCTACGCTGCTCCCAGGACCCCGCGCGGCTGGAGGGGCCCCGGGCCGCCCGCAGCCCACAGTTAGCCCCTGGGAGCTGGAGGAAACCGGGTCCACCGGGAAGGGCTGCAGAGGGTAGCCGAACCTGCCCGGCACGCCCCGGGAGAGAAGTAGGGGGAGGCACAGGTCGGGGAGGGAGAGCGGAGTAAGTGAGCTGGGGTCCAACTCCATCGCGGGCCCAGGACCCGGACTGGTCGGCCAGGCCCCTGAGCCGGCGTTACACCCGACCGAGCGGACTCCGAGGGTCGGACTGGGCGAGGACACATGGCTTCTCCGTTCCTGTCCGCGGGGACCACCACGGGCGACAGCGGCGGAGAGCTGAGCTCGGGGGACGACTCTGGTGAAGTGGAATCCCTCCAGAGCCCCGAGACCGCGGCGTCCGGGAGCCTGACCGAGCTGTTTGAGAAGGCTGCAGCGCACCTCCAGGGCTTGGTTCACGTGGCCAGCAGGGAGCAGCTCTTGTACCTGTATGCCAGGTACAAGCAGGTAAAGTCGCAGGGGAGGGGTAGATGCGGGAGAGAGATGAGGGCCTTCTCTTTCCAACAAACACTAACAGTAAACGTACTTGATAAATGGCTAGTAATGAGGTGTCTGTGTGTCTGTGTGTTGTGCTGTTTTTTGTTTTGTTGTTTGTTTGCTTTTTCATCATCCCGTAAAGATTAGCATCCTTATGGACATGGAAAGGACCTGTCTGCTATCCTAAGAACGATGTTTAGCTCCATGGACACTGAATGACAGATTTTCTGTTTTCTCCGACTTTGCTCAGCGACCTTGCATTTATGCTTTTACCAGCTTTAGAACTGTTACAAAATGAGGATGACAAAATAAGATTTGTCATTCATTCTTGCCAAAGCGTCATATGGAGGTAATGCTAAAAAATGAATATTTTGAGATCCAAGAGAATATATGACTGCTTAAAAAAGGGGCGGGGGGGTAACGCAATACAAAATAAAGTATTATTACTTTGATTTTTTTAAAAACTCCTAATACTTGAGACATGTTTTGGCTGCATATGCTTCTGTCTGTTAGATACAATTATAAAAATAATAGAGCTCGAAAACACCAGATGAAATAATGCTTTTCTTCTACAGAAAAGGAAAGAGATTCCCAAAGAGAGTAGGTAACTTGCCTAGGGTCATACAGATAAATCAGTGAGAACTAGAACTACCTTGTAGCTCCTGACACTAAGGCCCTGAACTTTACTTGGAAATACGGAAATAAAAATAATAATAATGTCATTTAAGATATATTTAGTCATTCAAAGAGTCATATGATTAAGTATCAGAAGGAAAAATAATTGCTTTATCATGATCATCAAATACTTGTTCAGCATCTTTTATGTGCAAAACTCTTGGGTGTTATGCCTACAAGGAGTGCAAAGAAGCAAGAGCATCATGATATTTGCCTTCAGGAGACTTACAAAGTTACTTGAGGAGTCCAGAGTCCAGATTTAAACACTTCTGAAAACTCGCTGATGAGTTAAAGAACAATTCAGGAAAACTCCAGCTCTTTAGAACATTGGAAGCAACGAAGTGCTGGATATTAGCCCATTGTATTTTATCAAATTTTAAAGAACTTTTCCTTTGCCTCTTGGTATTTATTTTTCCTTGTATTTTTCTTCTTTTTTAAAAAATAGTTGTGGGGTCACTCTGTATTCTTCAACTGAAATATACTGACTAGAGATTAATCTTTTTTGAAGATTGATGAATATCAGTTACATTCCTGAGAGAGAAAATTGTCGATGCAAATGGTATAAATCATAGTGTAAATGAAAATTGTCCCTGAATTGGCCTTGTAATTTGCTTTCTTGCAGAAGTTCTGGATATCTATTTTCTCTTTGGTCACTTACCCTATCCTAGTTACATTACAATAACACTTTCAATTATTTAACAAGAATTTCTTGATCATTGTGCTAGGACCTGTAACATGTCCCACTGATGATTGATTCTCTGGGCAGTGTAAGACTGAATTTCTCCAAATTTTCTAGAGAAAATTTTTTCTAGGACATATATTTATTATTGACATTAGTGTCATCATTTTTAAAGATCTGATTTCAAAGTCATCAGTGAACTACAGCCACCTGTCAACCACTCTGTCTCAGGTGTACTCACTTAATCCAGGTAGTCTGGAAGAGGCGTATTCCTCATCTTTTCAAGAATTTGATGGTATGGTGTCTAGAGATACTCTGTATCTGGAAAATAAAATTCTTCATTATTGGGGAATAGATTATGCTTACTTAGATATGACATCGGGACACAGTTTTCATCAATATCTTTTAAATATCTTATTTGTAACAGAATTCTGAGACAGTGTTAAAAATAGCATCTTTGATAGAATAATAAAGTTGAATGTGCAATATAATTCCTGCGTGGTGGAAAATTTCTCGTAAAATAACTACATTTTGTATTCGGAATAGCACCCTATTTTGTTGGCTAAATAGTTCAGGTTGTCAGCAGGAAGGTGATAAAAATAAACTAGGATATGAACCTTCTTTTCTCCGACAGAGCCCTGAACTTACCTAACAGCTCTTTTAATTTCAGGTAAGCTTATGGCTCTAAAATAATCTTTTAGTGAAATTTCAAAAAGATCACACCAATTGACAGGTTTTGTTTTTTTGTTCTCTGAACACTAGCCTACAGTCTCCCAATGAAAGATAACTAATTGACCCCTGTGAAAATATTGGGACAATGAAATTTTCAAACTCCTTTTGGCTTCATTGTATAGGAGCCTTCAGTACTAGTACAGGTTAGACTACCCATGTCCTCCTACTTGAACCTGGGTACACTTGATTCACTGGAATTCACCATTGGCAACCTTTGCTGATATATTCTGTTTCGAGGGCACTGGATATATCATATATATCAGAGAGAACAGAGTTTAGATTCTCTGTTAAAGTGGTACATTTTATAACTCTGCTTTGTAGCTTATGACTTATTATCTAATGATTTGGAATCTTACTCATGATGTCTTAAAACCCTGTAGTTTTATTTTCTCTGTCTTTTCTGGATCCAGAACTGAATTTGGGAATACAAAAGCTCTGTGTCAGTTGGGATACAGGGTCAGCTGCTGGACTTGTATTTTCAGCTCATATAATGGTCTGGAGGTAGGTGATCTCGGACTGGTAGGAGATCATGCAGGGGCTTGGTCTTTGTCTTGTAGCTCAGCCATGCCCCAAGGCAGCCAGTTCTCAAATTTTAGTCTATGGACCCCAGAGAATGCCTGAGACTTTCTCAGGGGATCTGTAAGATCAAACTATTTTTATAATAATACTAATAGACTTCTTTCTGTGCTGTCATGGTGGATAAAACTGCCTATACAGTCGGCCCTTGTTTATCACGGTTAATCAGTTCCAGACTACCATAATAAATGAATTTGAATAAATGTATTTGGAAAAAACCGCGATAGAGTGAAGCTGTGAAAGTCGAAGCGCGAAGTGGCGAGGGACGACTGTACATTACCATGAATCAAGGCACTGGCAATAAATTGTACCAGTAGTCATATTTCTTCCCCACCATGCACTCAGAGTTAAAAAAAATAGCCAGTTTCACTTAAAATGTCTTTGTTGAAGCAGTAAAAATTACTGATTTTTATTAACTATGAACTCTTGAGTTCAAGTCTCTTTCATATTGTATGTAATGAAATGGAGGGTATACACAAAGCACTTCTGCATATTGAATTATGTTGGCTTTTTCAAGAAAAACCACTTGTGTAATTTTTGAGTTACAAGCTGAGCTATCCACTTTTTTTTTTTTTTTTTTTAATCCTCATCCGAGGACATTTTTCCATTTTTTGTACAGACAGAGTGGGAGGGAGAGAGAGGAAGAGAGAGAGAGGGAAACATCGACGTGAAAGGGACACATCGAGTGGCTGCCACCCGCACGACCAACCAGGGCCGGGGACAAACTGCAACCGAGGTACATGCCCTTAGCGGGAACCGAACCCGGGCCTCTCCGGACCGCAGGTGGACACTCTAACCACTGAGCCAAACCGGCCAGGGCAGAGCTATCCACTTTTTAAGTAAACATTTTTACTTAGTAGAACAACTCACAGATAAACTATGCTTATTGAGATTTGAGCATTTAGGAGAAAGTTTCTTAAAAATGAATGAAGGGAGCCTATCACTTTAAGGAAAACAACTGACAGTATTTGTTGCCAGTGATAACATTTGAGCCTTCCAGTGAAAATTAGATGTATGGAAAATCTGCCACATGAACTTGACAGCGTCCTAATACTTAAACACTTTTCTGGTTAGTTTAGTGGTGATTTTAATAATTGTGAACTTTTGCTGTTATGTAATGAAATGTGTTAACATTTGGAAAGTCTGCATAATTTACTCAGTAACGATGTTTCCCAAATAATGTTACAAGTTATGTGTGGGTAAAAGAACCTTTCAAAGTGCAAGTCAGAACAATGGATTTTAATGTAACAGGATAAAAATTCATTGATATGACTTCAGATTCCAGATTGCAGCTAACCTTAAAGAAACTGCCACTTATGAGTTTTGGTGTGGTATCAAAAAAGAATATCCACAGTTATCTGAAAATGCTGCTAAAATACCTCTTTCCTTTCTAACAGCATATCTGTGTGAAGCTGAATTTTCTTCATATACTTCAACCAAAGCAACATATTGCAGTAGATGGAATGCAGCAGTAGATATCTGAGAATATACTAAAGCAGATGTTAAAGAGATTTGCAAAATGTAAAACAATGTCACTTTTGTATTTTATTTATTTATTTTTTTAATCCTCACCCGAGGACATTATTGCATTTATCTTCAGATAGAGCTGGAGGGAGAGAGAGAAATATCGATGTGAGAGAGACACGTTGAGTGGTTGCCACCCACACAACCCCAACTGGGCAGGGGACAAACTGCAACCGAGGTACGTGCCCTTAGCGGGAACCAAACCCAAGACTGTCTGGTCCATGGGCCAGTGCTCTAACTGCTGAGTCAAACCGGCCAGAGCCAATGTCACTTTTTTCACTAATTTATTTTTTCTTTTTGCTTTAGACTGTATGGTTATTTTTTTATAACTTTTTTTTTTATCCTCACCCGAGGACACTTTTCTATTTCTTGTTCAGATAGAGTGGGAGGGGGAGAGAGAGAGAGAGAGACAGAGAGAGAGAAACATCGACATGAAAGTGACACACCAAGTGGCTGCCACTCACACAACCCAAAAAGGGTCGGGGACAAACTGCAACCAAGGCATGCACCATCAGTGGGAACCGAACCTGGGTCTCTCTGGACCGCAGGCTGATGCTCTAACCGCTGAGCCAAACCGGCCAGGGCTATTTTTTATAAATTTTTATGTTAACGTAATGAGTTTATTATTATTTAAAAAAAATTTTTTTCTTCACTGATTGTAGAGAGAGGAAGGGAGAGGGAGAGAGAGAAATATCAATGAAAGATAACATCAGTTTGTCGCCTCTTGCATTCCCTCTACTGGGGATTTGGCTCACAACCTGGGCATGTGCCCTGACCGGGAATTGAACCAGCAACCTCTTGGTGCTTGGGTCCATACTCAACCACTGAGCCACACTGGCTGGGCTAGTTTATTATTATTTTTAAATGAATTAAACATATTTTTAAGTTTCTTTTTATTTCTCGTGGTAAATATCAATGGCTATAACCCACATAAACAAAGCTCTTTGGGGTCCTCAGTTACTAAGAGTGTAAAGGGATCATGAGATCAAAGAGTTTGAGAACTGCTGCCGTATGATTCTCTGTCCATGGCCAGAGATGGCTCACTATGGGCACATGTGTGATTTAGACAGGCCAAGAGAAAGGGAAGGACAAGCCCCCTTTCTTTTTAAGAAAGATATTTATATCACGTTTACACATACTCAGTCCCTTGGCTGAGGCAGAAGTTGCATGGCTACATGTAATATTTAGCTGGATGACCTTTTGTCTGTCTGAGACTTCTATTCTATTACTGTAGGAGAAATGGAGAATAGATATTAGTATTTGTTTCTGCCACTGGCTGGTGTCTGGTTAAAAAACAAAAATAGTAATAGCTCTTTTTATGATGTCTAGTAGTTCATCTCATTTCATATTTCTTTTCTATCAGTCCAGCAGTTCAGGTGATTTTAGAGATGCCAGAATTGAAGCCTAGATTCTGTGTAACATGTACAACTGAATGTTATATAGTAAAGGAATATTGGATTTTGGAGTCAAACAGTCCTGGATTCAAATCCTCACTAGTGATTAGGATTTACTGATGTGTGGACTGTGACAACCCTCCTCCACCGTCTGTTCTCATTTATAAAAGGAGTTTGCAGTGGCAAACCTCACGGGATTGTTGTGTGGCTCGTTCGATATACCATAGGTGGAGCTTTCGTGCAGCGGATACAGCTGCTGCTCTCCACTTCCCTGTCCTTTCCTAGCAGGGCTGTTCCTGTATAAGTGTGCGTTTCAGTAACCACCAGATTAATTGTGACAAATCACTAAGCAAATGATAGATGATCATTGTTACGACTTCAGGGATGGATGAGATCATTGTGGACTGAAAGGGTTCTTAGAATCTGAGCCTTGAGTAGGAGGTATGGCATTTTGGAAAGCTCAGGGGAGAAGAGAAGGCATTTCTGGTGAAGAGAATTACATTGAGCAAAACTCAGAATAAAAATCCCTAAGGGAGTGAGTAGACCAGTCTGGTTAGCGAGTAGACCATCACTTTGATTTTAACAAAATTCAAGTGTAGAAGAGTAACTGGAAGTAGTGGGAAGGTCCCCAAGGAGTGGATTGGGGTCAGATTGTGGTGTTTAGCATTAGGAAAAGTAGGTGTTTTTTTGAACATATGCTTAATACAGTCATGGTATATTCAACAAGCATTTTTTACTACCTTAAGTTAGGCACTATTAGGTGCTATGATTACGTTAAGAATGGTTTCTTACAGGCTGTATTCTGATAGAAAGATGAGTCTTTATACAAAACTTCCTAACAGAAAGTAAAAGTGAAAAGTGCTGTCGTAGATTGTATCACAAGGAGTAAGTGCTATGAGAGTTCATCAGGAAGGGAGATCAATTCTGGCAGTGGGAACTGGGCTGGATAGTGATTTCTGCACTTGTGTGAATTTTGTTTATGCTTATTCACAGTGAAGATGATTACTGGCATGGTTTAACTGGATTAAAATAAGTATTGACCACAAACAAGAAAAGATTGTGGAATAGCTAGAATTTATATTGTTGAGAAACTATTGCAAATTTTTTGCACAGCTTCCGACATGTAAATTTATATTGATTAGTTGATAATAGATCACTTTAAAAATAGTGTGTTTTATCCTGGAATTGGGGAGAAATAAAATGCTAAGAGTATTATGAGTTCAACATAAACAAACAATATTATGAGTTGTGATAAACTGTATTTTAAAATTTGTTAATTGCATGTTTTAAAATTCTTCTGTATTATAAATGGTAATTGGGATTGCATAATCTGTATTTATAATTTGTCATAAATAATTTGTGTATTAACTTAGAAATGCAACTGTTTGTCACTCATATTTTAAAAAATATTATCGTGTTAGTCCAGCCAGTGTGGCTCAGTGGTTGAGCGTCGACCCATGCACCAAGAGGTCGTCAGTTCGATTCCAGGTCAGGGTACATGCCCAAGTTGTGGGCCTGATCCCCAGTGGGGGGCATGTAGGAGGCAGCCAATTAATGTTCTCTCTCATTGATGTTTCTGTCCCTCCCTCTCACTTCCTCTCTCTCTAAAATCAATAAAGGAAAAAAAATGAAAATATTGTAGTATTAGATAAACATATTTAGATAATTTGTTTTGTACAGTAAGCAAAACCAGCCTGTATTTCAAGTTTGTCTTTTTGTTTGCTTCTGCAAAGAATGTTAAATTTTGTTACTCTGTATAAATGTGGGTATTTTCTAGCCTGTAGTTACTGAGTACACATAGTAAATTTGAAAATAAAAGGTTTCTCTGGCATTTCTTTGAAAAATAAGATCTTTATTTTTCTCCCTTTTCATATAGGTCAAAGTTGGAAATTGCAATACTCCTAAACCAGGCTTCTTTGATTTTGAAGGAAAGCAAAAATGGTGAGAAATTCTTGGACTCTATTGGGATGGTTGGAAATGGTTTAGGTGTTTAGGAATTAGAAAGGGGTGAGCAGATTAAAGAATTATTTTTATATTAATCTCTCTGCTGTAGACTGCTAAGGGCAGGCAATTGGGAGAGAGATTAAAAGAATCCGATTTTAGCTAAGTCTCCTAAAGGGTTCTTGTGCCATGATGTTGGTATGTAAGTAGTTCACAACAGGCGTGCATCCCTTACATAAGAAGAGCTTCTTAGAGAGTGGCCCTGTGAGCTGTTGCTGGAGGTTCCCTTTCCTGTCATACAGCCACCTCTTCTCCCCGCCCCGATTTTATCTCCTCTTCCGTGCTCTTCTGTTCCTTGCCCCACCTACCACAGTAAAGAAGTGCTGACCGTAACCTCTTGCGAAGAAGGAGGTAAAAAAACAGATGCTTACTTAGTTCACTTCTTTCTTGAATATGTAAAAGAATTATACCCTCCCCAATTTTTTTTACTTGAAATTCAGAGGTTTCCTCTTAATCATATGAGGCCTTATTTCCTCTTACCTTGTCTGAATGAGAAAAGAGGAATTGCACACAACAGGGAACCTTAGTTATAGCAGGAAGGACTTTGAAGCATTAGCCCTAGAATTAAATATATAGAGGGTAGGTTTAAAAAAAGAAAGAAAGAAATATGGTTGTAGATAGAAGTGCTAAAAATGGATTCTAGCTGTACTTTCTAGAGCAGTGCTGTTCAGAATGTGGTCCCCTGCACAAGTCGTGCTTGAAGCCATACGTCAGTTACGGCATAAGGCGCACCGCGTAGTTCCGCTGACCTGCTTATGTGTGTAGGACATTCTCAGCAAAGGAAGCAGTGCTTTGATTTTCATTCTGGCCCAGGGTTTCTTTGCCAGTGTTAATGAATAACTCTCTGATTGCGCTTTATTGCTTTGTAGAGAATAACTGACAAAACTTTTATTGTGAGTTTTTTGTTTTAATTTATGAAAATTTATAGCTTTGTTATTTTTTCCTATACTTGCCTGGTTTTAAATTGTATTTAACAATTTTACAAAGTTTAGATTTTACAACCACTAATAATAATTCAGGCAAGAATCTAAATTGGATGCTAAAACCAGTAGATGAAAAACTACTAGGGAGCAATATTTATTCACGCTGACCCACAGTTTACTTATTCATTATAAAGAAGAAAACAGGAGATACTGCTTTTACCAAGTCCTCAGTCTCATCATTGATGACGGAACAAACTGATATCACGGGCCCTCTGACAGCGCGCGTTGTCTAGGACATGTCACCCATGCACTGCTCTTGACAAAATATTTAACCTGATCCTAATCGTGATTAATTGCTTTTGGCATGAATACCCTGTAGGTGAGAAAACAATTAGACAAATCCAAATTGAGGAATCGTTTATAAAACAACTGATTTGGACTCTTGAAAATATCAATATCATGGAAGATAAAAAAGGCTAAAGCTACATGAAACTCAAGCTATGTATGAATCTGGACTGGCTCCCAGAGTCTGGGAGAAGAAAGCTATGAAGGAAATTATAGGGAAATCTGATTGTATTGATGTTAAATTTTCTCAGTTTGATATATGCTGATATATTTATGGGTAAAGTGTTAGGATATATACCAAGAACTCTTAATTAAGAGAGTCAGTAAAAAGAAAATTAGAAATCTCAGAAAGGTTATATTCATCATAGAAGCAGAAAGGTGGTTAAAAAACTGTGGAACTGAGTTCTGGGTCACAGTGGATCATGGGTTTACTTCCTGGTTGGAAGTAGAATTGGTAGGGAAAACCAGGAAGGAGCCTGTCCTGGAAGCTTGCAGAAAAGAAGACTAAACTGTTACTCAGGACTAAAACATTACTCTTGGTATCGATAGTGCGGGAAGTCCCTGCCCACTCACCCATTCGTATTCTTAACTCTGTCCTCCCCAGCCCTCTGAAGTCCCTGCCCAGGCCTCAGGATCCACTGCCAGCAGCTTGATGAGATAACAGCAGGAGGGGAGGGGAGGTGTATTTCTCACTTCTTACACAAGACGTTTGAGGCATTTTTCCAGGGAATGTTGTTTTGTGTGATGGTTAGTTCTCTGTTACCAAATGCCATAAGTACATTGAATTCATAAGATGGACCTACTTTTGTTGGTCTGTAGATCAGACATTTTCAACAGGGGTGAAAGTTGGTTTTGGGGAATTATAAAATCTTAGATATTACACTAGTTTGTGGTCTTCCAGAATTCAACAGGTATGCAATATATCTGTATTATTAAAATGTCCTGGGTGAAGGTGATTAGGAAAAAAAGGTCTAACAGGCTCTTTAGGTGGGATGAGAAGATCTGAATTGCTATAGACAAATGTAAATGCAGAATAGAGAGGGCTGCTCATCTATGGCTTATTATATCCATATCTCCAGACCCGTAAAATGTATATGCCAATTTCTTAAATAAAAAGAAACATGCTGTTTGTGTTACTTACATAGTTAATGATGGTCGTTTTGGATACTCTGCTATAGGGAAGCATGGAAAGCACTTGGTGATTCGAGCCCACGCCAAGCAATGCAGGAGTATATCGCAGCAGTTAGAAAATTAGATCCAGGGTGGAATCCTCAGGTAAGACTTAACGATTACAAGTAACACTTTCTAAAACTATGTCTTTCTCTCAAATAAATGTTTAAATCTAAGTTTAGGCTTAAGTACCTTTCTTAAAGTTTTCTCAAATCAAAAGATTCTAAACTTATTGCAGTATTTATCTATCTAAAAATATTATTGCTTAAACAGTCACATGACCGGCTACTGATACCGAGAACATTTCTGAATTGTAGAGACTTTTTAAAAGCATAACAATAATTTCAACCATATAAAAACTCAGTTTATTTCAGAATTGGAGAGAGTTTAATATCATATCATCATTATTCTCTTAAGAAATGGTTGATATCTCTTGGGGTATTTTTCATGAGCCATTTCTGTGCAAGTACAAAATGATTATTGATAGGAATAAAATGTGAATAACACATGCTTCTGCCTTTATGTGGTTTCAAGTGTATTAGAGAAGATGAAACATACATAGTATAAAACAATAATACCCAAGTGCTAGGAAATTTAGTGGAAGCAGAGATTACTTTGGCCTTTGGGGACAGTGGATATTGTTCACTTAAATGTACTCTCTTTTTCTAGTATAGTTATTGGCTACCATCTGTAAAGCATTTAATAAAAGTGGAGTTGCTACTTTAAAATTTTTAAAATCGTGATTGGTAGGTGTTTCAGTGGGATAAAGGCTGGATTGGTACCATGTCAAAAATACAAATTGAATATATTTCTTTTCTTTTTTTTATCCTCACCCAAGGACATTTTTCCATTCTTTGTTCAGGTAGAGTGGGAGGGAGAGAGAGGAACAGAGAGAGAGGAGAGAAACATCGATGTGAAGGGACACATCGAGTGGCTGCCACCCGCACGACCGACCAGGGCCGGGGACAAACTGCAACCGAGGCACGCGCCCTTAGCGGGAACCGAACCCGGGTCTCTCCAGACCGCAGGCCGACGCTCTAACCGCTGAGCCCTGCGGTCCTGAGAGACCCGGGTTCGGTTCCCGCTAAGGGCGCGTGCCTCGGTTGCAGTTTGTCCCCGGCCCTGGTCGGTCGTGCGGGTGGCAGCCACTCGATGTGTCCCTTCACATCGATGTTTCTCTCTCTCTCTCCCTTCCTCTCTCTCCCTCCCACTCTACCTGAACAAAGAATGGAAAAATGTCCTTGGGTGAGGATAAAAAAATAAATAAATAAAAATATGTAGGCCAAACTTCAGCAGTGAATGAATTCAGCAATTTGCAGTATTTTTTTATAATTAAGTTATTTCAATATTAATTACCAGCATGAAGGAATGTTGTTCCATCAATCACGGAATCTTAAAATGTCAGAGTTGCACCCTGGCTGGTGTGGCTCAGTTGGTGGGCATCATCCTGGGCACCAAAGGTTGCTGGTTGGGTTTCTGATCAGGGCACATATCCGAGTTAACAGGCTTGATCCCCAGTAGCGGGGGGTGCAGGAGGCAACCAATCAATGTTTCTCTCTCCTCCTTCCCTTCCTTTCTCTAAAAATCAATAAACTTTTATTTTTAAAAAATGTCAGAGTTGTGCCTTGGCCAGTTTGGCTCAGCGGTTAGAGTGTCGGCCTGCGGTCCAGAGAGACCTGGGTTCAGTTCCTGCTAAGGATGCATGCCTGGGTTGCAGTTTGTCCCCGGCCCTGATTGGTCGTGCAGGTGGCAGCCACTCGGTGTGTCCCTTTCACGTCGATGTTTCTCTCTCTCTTCCTCTCTCTCCCTCCCACTCTATGTGAACAAAGGATAAAAAAAGAAAAAAAGTCACAGTTGTGAGGAACCTTAAAGATGATGTGTTATGACAAAATTATATCTTAATTATGAGTAGAAAGGGGGACAGATATCTTTAGTAATATGACTGCCTTTTGGGTGCCATTGAAACATTTCCTGATTTTTTTATGTACATCTGTATTCATTCTCGGAAATATACCATTTTATTAATATTGCTTATACATAATGGTCAAAACAGGTGCCCCTCTGAGCTGAACTCAGCCTGAACACACATGGCACAATATTTAAAACAAAACAACAGAATTTGAATGTCTTTAGGTGGACTCTTCAGGTCACCGTGGGCTCAGTTCTTCCCTGTTGATTTCTGCTGACTCTTTTCAGTGCCTGGCCTATGTAGGTATTTGAGTTTATTTTTATTTATTTATGTATTTATTTTTTAATCTTTATTGTTGAATGTAGAATGTATTACAGATATTCCTCATTTTTTCCCCATTGACCCCCTCCTCCCCACTCCCACCCCCCTCCCGCCTTTTCCCACACTATTGTCTGTGTCCATTGGCTATGCATATAAGTTCTTTGGTTTATTTCTTCCCACCCCCCAACCCCTTTCCCTTTGAGGTTTGTCAGTCTAGCAATGAATTTGTGCTTCTTAATCCCTTCACCTTTTTCACCCATTCCCCCAACACCCCTCCCATCTGGCAGCCAACAAAATGTTCTCTGTGTCTATGAGAATGTTTCTGTTCTGCCTGTTCATTTTGTTTGTAGATTCCATTGTTGATAGATATGTATTCATTGCCATTTTGTTTCTTCATATATTTTATCTTTTTCTTCAAAAAGACCCTTCATCATTTCATACAATAACGGTTTGGTGGTGATGAACTCCTTTAACTTTTTCTTGTCTGGGAAACTCTTTATATGGCCATTGATTCTAAAGGACAGCTTTGCAGGATAGAGTAATCTTGGTTGTAGATTCTTGCTTTTCATCACTCTGAATATTTCTTGCCACTCCCTTCTGGCCTGCAAAGTTTCTTTTGAGAAATCAGCTGACAGCCTTATGGGAACTCCCTTGTAGGTAACTAGCTGCCTTTCTCTTGCTGCTTTTAAGATTCTCTCTTTGTCTTGAACCTTTTGCATTTTGATGATGATGTGTCTTGGTGTGGGCCTCTTGGGGTTCATCTTGTTTGGGACTCTCTCTGCTTCCTGGACTTGTATGTCTGTTACCAAGTTAGGAAAGTTTTCTGCCATTATTGTTTCAAACAGGTTTTCGATTTCTTGTTCTCACTCTTCTTCTGGCACCCCCAAGATGCGAATGTTGGCACGCTTGAAGTTGTCCCAGAGGCTCCTTACACTATCTTCATTTTTGTGGATTCTTTTTTCTTTTTGCTGTTCTGATTGGGCGTTTTTTGCTTCCTTATATTCCAAATCGATGGTTTGCTTCTTGGATTTACGTACTCTACTATTTAATCTGTGTAAATTATTCTTTATTTCAGTTAATGTCTCCTTCATTTCTGACTGTGCATCCATCATTTCTGACTGGTCCTTTTTTATGCTCTTGAGGCCCTCACTAAGCTCACTGAGGTTCTCACTAAGTTCATTGAGCATCCTTATAAGCAGTATTTTGAACTCAGCATCTGTTAGGTTGCTTACCTCCATTTCGCTTAGTTCTTTTCTTGGGGTTTTGTTCTGTTCTTTCATTTGGGACCTGTTTCTTTGTCTCCTCATTTTGGCTGCCTCCCTGTGTTTGTTTCTGTGTTATTACTTAACTAGCGGTATGGGGCTAGCTGAGACCAGATGCTGCTCATTTGAAAGAATTTAGGAAAAACTTGAAGCAGGATCCACGACAGGCCAATGCTATGGTTAAGCAAGTGGCAACAGCTTGGGTGGGCCTGAAAGTTGGGTGGGGCGGGGCCTCAGGGAGTCACGAGGGCGGGGCTACCAGTGTGAGCCAGGTTGCTGGAGTCCCAGATATGGCGGTTGTCTGCTGCCCCTGGGAAGGGCTCACCAAAGGAACAAAGGCCTCTGACAGCACGTTTGTCCCCGAGAAAGCCCCCTCTCCAGCCCTCGCTCCAGTGCCAAACAGCTCAGTTCTTCCCTGTACGTCTCTGGTGCTCCTCGAGCTGCCTCCTCTCCAAGCTTAGAGGGAGAGAGTCCGATAAGTCCGTGCGCGGGCCCTTTAAGGAGCTGCCTGGGGCTCCAGCCGCCTCAGCCTCCCTGAGCCTCAGTTCCTGCTGGTTTTTCCAGCCAGAAGTGATGGGGATTCTCTTCCTGGCACTGGGACCCTGAGCGGTGCGTCTGGTGTGGGCCGGGGACCCCTCAGTCCTCAGGGAGGACCTTCCCAGCTGAGGTGTCCTCCTGATTTTATCCGCCACACGTGGGTGTGGGACCAGCCCGTCCCCTCCGCCCTCCTACCAGTTTGGATGTGGCTGCTGCTTTAATTCCGTAGTTGTAGGACTTCCATTCAGCTTGATTTCAGGCGGTTTTGAATGATGGTTGTTCTGTAGTTTAGTTGTAACTTTAATGTGGTTGTGGGAGGACACGATAGAGCGTTTACCTACCCGCCATCTTGACCGGAAGTCCAGTATTTATTAACTTCTGATAAATGACAGCATTTATGATTTCTTACCTTCAATACCTTAATTACTAAATAAAATTCTGTTAACCATGACTCTTACAAACTTGCAGAGTCCACGTGGTTAGGTAGTTCTTCCTTATGGAGATTCAGACAGGCATTAAGGATGCTTTTTAAAAATATCTGTATCTCACATATTGAACATAAACTTGATTTGTAAACCAGGCACAATCAAAGGTACTTTCAAATAAAGACTATTCTTTAATACATTGTTCTAAATATATTTTGACATCATAATCTCGTAAGAGGAGTTTTGTTTCATTTACATTTAAATTTTTAGTTTAAGAACTCTGAGCTGGTCCCCTTTGCTCAGCTTTTTCTCCTTGTTTTGCAGTGGTATGGGGCAGATTGTGACCTCAGTCTCAAGAGATTTGGCATTCAGTTCATGATCTTTTAGGTTAAAGACTCATTTCTTTTGAGATTTCTTTCTAAAAACAATGAAATAATAACTCTCATGTGTTAAATGTGCTGAGCTTTTTATACATGTATTCACATTTGAGATCTTCACAAGAATCTTAAGAATTAGAAACTATTGTCTGCATTTTAAAAATGAATAAATTTGCCCTGGCCAGTTTGGCTCAGCGGTTAGAGCGTCGGCCTGGGGTCCGGAGAGACTGGGTTTGGTTCCCGCTAAGGGCACGTACCTTGATTGCAGTTTGTCCCCGGCCCTGGTTGGGTTATGCAGGCAGCAACCACTCGATGTGTCCCTTTCACGTCGATGTTTCTCTCTCTTTCTCCCTCCCTCTATATCTGAACAAAAAATGGAAAAACGTCCTCGGGTGAGGATTAAATAAATAAATAAATAACAAATAAATAAAAATGAATAAATTTAGGTACAGAGAGGTTTAGTACTTTGCTAAGATTAGGCAGCTAATAAATGGTGGGCTGGGATTTGAGTCTATGCTCATATGAATCTAGAGCCCCACTCTTAACCACTCTGCTCCCTGTTCTGTAGCTACCATGTGTATAGAACTTTGTGATATATGTAAACATATATATATATCATAGTTATATATATAAATAGATATATATAGAAATGGATATGTATATAGATATATATAAACATAAATGTAAAACATTTCAAGTAAAGGTAGTTACTTTTTAATTAAAGCTACATGGTACCTCAAGTATAAAATGAACAATGCTTTAAAATGCAGCCCTTTGCCCTGGCTGGTTTGGCTCAGCGGTTAGAGCGTCAGCCTGCGGTCCACAGAGACCCGGGTTCGGTTCCCGCTAAGGGCATGTACCTTGGCTGCAGTTTGTCCCCGGCCCTGGTTGGGGTGTGTGGGTGGCGGCCACTCGATGTGTCCCTTTCACATCGATGTTTCTCTCTCTTCCTCTCTCTCCTTCCCGCTCTATCTGAGTAAAAAATGGAAAAATGTCCTTGGGTGAGGATAAAAAAAAAAATTAAAAAAAAATAAAATAAAATATAATGCAACCCTTTGACTATGTTTTCTGTTAGGTTTCATCTTAAGACTGTGTTGAGCCCTGGCCAGTTTGGCTCAGCAGTTAGAGCGTTGGCCTGTGGACCAGAGAGTCCCAGGTTCAGTTCCCACTAAGGGCACATACCTTGGTTGCAGTGTGCCCCGGCCCCAGTTGGAGTCACATGGGTGGCAACCACTTGGTGTGTCTCTCTCATATCATGTTTCTCTCTCTCTTCCTCCCTCTCTCCCTTCTGCTCTATCTGAAGATAAATACAAAAATGTCCTCGAGTGAGGATAAAAAACTAAAACAAACAAAAAAGTCTGTGTTGAATATCTAATATAATCAAGGCAATTCTCTCTTTTTTTTTTTTTGGTACATGCCCCTAGCAGGAACTGAACCTGGGACTCTCTGGTCCACAGGCCGACACTCCAACCACTAAGCAAACCGACCAGGGCAAGGCAATTTTTTTGCCTTGTTTATGGCTTTTTTTAGGGGGAGGAGGGTGAATTTTTATTTTTGACAAAAATATATATTTAAGGTGTGCAATGTGATGTTTTGATATTGATATATATATACACACACACACATTGTGAAATGATTATCACAATCATTTCATATCAATTAACTATTAACAAATCAACTATTAACATATCAACTAATTAACATATCAATCACCTCTCATAGTTACCGTGTGTGGATGTGTGTGTGTGTGTGTGTGTGCGCGTGCGTGTGAGAGAGAAGAACCCTTGGGATATATTCTCTTAGCAAATTTTAAGTTTATAATATATTATTATTAAGAAATTGCCCTGGCCGGTTTGGCTCAACCGTTAGAGCATTGGCCTATGGTCCAGAGAGACCCGGGTTCGGTTCCCGCTAAGGGCATGTACCTCGGTTGCAGTTTGTCCCCGGCCCTGGTTTGTCGTGCGGGTGGCAGCCACTCGATGTGTCCCTTTCACATCGATGTTTCTCTCTCTCTCTCTTCCTCCCATTCTGTCTGAACAAAAAATGGAAAAATGTCCTCAGGTGAGGATTAAAAAAAAAGAAGAAATAACTAATAACAATGCATTATTATTAACTAACGTATACTTGATATAATTTTTTTAAGTTTCAAGAATAATACAAGGAACTTCTGGATGGCTTTTATCTAGAACACCAATTGTTTTTCATTTGCTTTAACATACTCTGTTTACATACATACACAAACACATGTATATGTATAAATAAATTTTTTCTGGACCACTTTAGATAAGTTGTTGATATCATGTACCTTTATCACTAAATGCTTCAATTTTTCCTAGGAACAGGGTTTGTACAACTACCCCATAACTGTCAAAACTGG